TAGTGTTTTAAACAAAAAACGACATGAAATTTCACCAAGCTAAAGCTTTTTACACTCCAATTTCAGGTCTTGATTCAGTTCTTAATCTTTTCGGCCAATTAATATGTCATTTTTTTTCTTATCTTTGTGTGTGAAATTGGGAAGAAGGAAAATTGGTATCAGGTATGTTCTGCTTCAAAGGCTTAAAGGCAGTTCTTTTTTCTTCAAGATTTAGCTGGGACTGAATTTTTAAACACAATGACACTTTCCAGTTAGCTTTTTTTCATTTGGAAAGCACATACTTCTCTTTGAGTAAAGAAAACTTCCTGTTGTGTTTTTTTTTTTTTTTTTTTTTTGTTAGCTAAAAGCTAGGTTATGTTGCATGTATGTGTACACACGTGTATGATTGAATGATCTTAGAAAATGGACTTTTGAAAACTTTTAAGAAAAGGCACATTACACATCATAAACATGTTTGGGAATACATGCAAGAATAACCTTCATTCCCAGCTGGAATTTTGGAGACTTTAAGAACCTGGCAAATCAAGTTGAAAGAAACTATGAAACGTTTCAGCAAACTTAATTTTCACAGATTTTTAAACTTGCCAAGAAAATCATGCTGTGAGGTCATCTGAGAGCTGTGAGCATGGAAATGACTTCACTTGAGCTGGCTTAGAAACAACACTGCAGTAAACAAGCACAAAATAGATGGAAAATGGATTGGCAGCTGCAGCCTCCTTACACCTTGCCCCTCACAGCACTGTTACTGCCAATACAGGTGCAGAAATCTAATCTGTTCCTGTCAGTACTAAAATTGCTTATACTGGGGAAGGTATTCCCATGAAGAAAATAAATTCTGCTCATGTAGGAGTATACACAATATCAATTAGACTCCTATAATTACACCAGTAATAAAAGGACATCATACCTCTAATTAAACCATGCATACCAAAGACCACATGTACTTTGCAGTGCTCTCTCTCATTTTTTTGAATCTAGGATTTGGAGTAATGTTCTGAAACTGTAGCCATTCCCTACAGAAATTTGGCAATTTGTGCCATCAGGTTGGTTGCTCTGGAAACAGGCCTCCATTTCTTCCAGCTTAACAGCACGAGCTGCTGAACTCCAAGACAAACAAGTGTAACAGCCCTGTTCCTTTGCTTTCAGAGGCCAATAAATTTGCCTCAGCAGTAATGGATTACTACTTTTCCTCTTATCCATTCTGGTGAAGCTTACCCCATGAGGAGCTTTTGACTGAATTGATGAAACACTTGTGCCCTTAAATATCTTTCACAAAAGTAATCTGGAACATGTAACCTCACATGGGCAAGAAAAATACCAATTGCCTTAGTATCAGAGGGGAAGTATCTACAGAGGGTTACAAAACTAGCACCGTTTCCTGCAGCAGGAAAGCCTTCTCTCCATTGTCTCCTTCTACTCCAATCCTACATCATCCTGCTTTTCTGCAAAGATAACTGGATATCACTTTAATAGTGCTTGCTGGACTACCAGTCCTTTGCTAACTGCTTCACTTTATGGTCTTCTGAGCTCCTTCTTTCATCAAACCATTTACTAGACAGCCTGGAATTAGGCACCCCAAAGGGACCCTGCTAGCACAGGGTGTATTGTGCTTTCTTGAGTGTTAAAATACTTTTTCTTACCACCTTTTTCTCCTGGCATCAGAGAGCACAAGCTGCAAATCATTGGGAATGTGCTTTGCTTCCTTCTTCCCTCCTCACGGATGTGAATTTGCAAGCTGGTTTTGGAGAGCTGAGCAAGGACAGGCACTTGCCCTAATCAGCTGCTTAATTGCTATCTCCCCCACACATGCCCTCTCCCTATGGTGAGCATGGTGACTGTGTGGTGTCTGGCCTGTTCTCAGTGAGGTGCAAATTATTTCCCACATGCCACGTGGGAGATGCGTGCCAGGGCTCTAGCATGTGGTAAGGCAGCTCTCCAGTTTCTGCTTTGCTGTTTCATTAACACGCAGGGGAAGAGAGAGGAACACTACAAGGTTCAGGAAACTTAACTGTCCAATGCATGAGATCCTTTCCAAACACACTCCTTGGCAGATGTCAAACCACAGGGACTCTTCCTTCTTCTGATATGTGTGTGAAGTTGACTGGCCTCCCATATTCACAACATAAAAGGGAATGAAAGGCTCAGAAGTTACTTGGGTTGCAATTTTCTGTTATACAGTCCTTGCAGTCCTTGCAGTCCTGGTGGCTCTGTACCAGATTGGCCACCTGTAATACTCCACTGCGTTTGTGTCTTAATCTATTTGGAGATGGACCTTGCAGCCCAAACAGACCTAGGTATTCTATTAATTAATGGGTATTTTAGTAGACATAAATTGCCACAAAACACAACATTACTTGTTTGAAGCCTCAGCATAACTGTTGTGCCAGCAGAGCATTACAGAAGTAACTCATTACTACAGATTTTATTAAGTACTGAAATTAAATTCCTCATAGGCATTTGATATAAAATTATTCAAGTCTAATTTGCACCAGTAAAACATCAGCAAATGATCAGAGCTGGAGAAAACAATTTCTCTGCCCTCCTCTCCTCCTGCAGCAACCTACGCCACACTGGAGGAGAGCAGTTAAGCAATACTATCTTCCAGTTTAACAGCGTGTTTAAATTTGTTAAGGCATGAAAAGGGTTCTTCCTATAGGTAGAAGTTTCAGGGTATCCTGGTAAGAGACTGACAAGGGAAAGCAGGCAATCAAAAGAGAGCTTGCTGGTGCTAGACAAATATTCTTTTTATGACAGATATTTTAGGGTCCAAGTATGGCTTGGGCTCCTGTAGGGGAGCAGCATCAGTAGATTAAGAACAAAACTCATGTTGAATGCTTCAGTAGAGTGTGGGAGAGAACCAACAGCAGAGCGTGGCAGAGGCAAACATGAAGGTGAGGAGGAGTGCAGAAGTGTCATGCTCCATCTTAGGAAGACTCAGCAAGACAGTGGGTTGAGGGCCAGACGGAGGGGTGGGAGTGTGATAACTAGGCTGTTAAGCACAAGGAAACAGAAGAGCTGGAAAAACTTCACAGCAATGATCTCTGAGAAGAAATAATACTCTCCCTATCTTCCAGGTCAGTCCATGTTGCTATCACGTGGAATTATAAATTGCCAAAACTGTCCTACCTCACGCAGATTTTCAGACAAGGAAGCTCTGGTGTCAGGATCTTGACTTAATTTTGTCCAATGAATCACAAGTAAAAATATATCACAAGGTACAGGGAAGGCCCACCTGGTCTTCAACCAAGTTTTCTTTTCATAGCATGAGAATGTGATTTTAATGTTATGAAGGTGGGACAGTGGAGAGACAAGGCGTGCATGGCTTTGCTCAGTTCCTTTTCCCAGCTTTCCATGCAAGGAATATTCTTTTAACTGTGTAGTTTTTCAGATGTCAAAGTGACTCCAAAGCTGTTTCATCTTTTCATGTAGGTGAGAATACAGAACCTTACAATTCCTTCCTTTCTCTCTCTCCCCCCAAAAAATCCCCCTTCTGCTCTGAAGGACATCAGATGAACAGTGTGTTGCAAGAAAAGCTTCATATAGAATTGATAAGCTCTGTATGCTTATCTTAAATATTGTCACTGATCTTCCATAACGCAAGGAGCCAAGTGAAAGAGAAGTCCTCCCAGAGATAGAGGAACAAGGGAGCATTCAATTATTTACAAAGGAGCAAAAACCTTGTTTTTCCAGAATCAGCAAGTGATAGGAGGGGACACAATTCCACACACAAATTACTCTTGGATTAGTTGAGTCAAGTGGTGTGCTTCCTAGCAGGGTAGTGACATTGGTTCCATATCTGAGACACAAATGCTTTGCTCAATCTAGTGCTAGCAAGTGGAGATTCTCTGTGCTCCCACCAGTACAGATGTCTCTGCTGTATATGTCTCTGCTGTATCTTACCTTTTGGGTGGTTCTCTCCTGAATTCTCATCTTGTCTGCTAAGTGTGAAGAGCATGAGCTAAGAAAAACTTAGAAATCTCAAGTAATTGAAAGAAGATACAGGCTTTGGGTTTTATAGTAGGTGCAATTTAACAAAAAATTCAAAATACATTTTTTTTTTTTTACATAGCTTAAAAAATACTCTTAGAAATTATTTGCCCTGAAAAGATACAGTGATTTAAAAGTACAATTATGAAGATACATTCTTCAAAAGTGACATTTCGCATCATTTCCATTAAAAGAAAGGTTATGATTCAAATATGCTTTCAAACACAGACAACCCTAGATACCCTAACATGTTTATAGGAATAATCATTCCTGAGAAATCTGGCTGATTGCAAATCTCCCAAGATTAGTCCTGGACCACATTCTGAAACATATTAACAATGGACTAAAGTAATTAGACAGTGTGTAACAGAATTGAGAAATCAGGTCAGCAGAGGAAGAAAACTGGGAAATGCTCCCATTACTGGAACTACAGGCTTGTTGGTAACACTACCTGTATCTGCTGCCTTTCTTACTTAACTGCAGTACAAGCCAGATCTGCACTGTCAGCAGCTCAGACTGTCCTGTTACCTGTACAGAGCCTATGTGTGCCTTTCCTTTAAAATAAAATTAAAATTAAGCCTGTTCACAGTAACTTTTACGTGTCTTATAAAGAGAAGCAGTGAACAGAACTATTCCAAAACTAATTAAGTTCTAATAATATAGAGTAAGAAAAAGAACGTAAGAAAATGAAGTCAAAGACAAGATTCAAGAGTAACCAACTCCATGCTAACAATGCCTTTTAGATAAACATTTTGCTGTGTGCCTACTCTCCTAAGACAAAAGCACCATCCTGATACTGTGTGTTTTCTGGCAGAATATCCTGTCAGCCTTGATAAGGATAGTTCTTGATTCCATTGCAACAAGTGAACTTGCTCAGTCTAATTCAATTTTACTGATTTCTTTTTCTTGGCTTGTTTTTTTGAAATAATACTCAGAGCAGTTTCTGAATTGCCAGCTGAAGTCTGAGGCAGGAGTAGTTTTCCCGACTGTGTTGGGTACTTTGTTTTCATAAGGACTTTAAACAGTGGTTGAGACAGCATGTGTTTCAGTTGTTTTTTCATTCCTTTCAGCATCTTTTGCTTCTGGCTTTCTTCTTGCTCACTCATTTTTTTTCCTTTGGGAAGAAAATCAGAGACAATGTTATAACACAAAGAACTTACACTGGCCTGTTTCATCAGCCTCTTGCAGTGTTAGGGGCAGATACTAATCTAATCTTACTAAGATCACTGAGCTCCAATGTAGTCTTCCAGTCACGTATGACATTTCTGGTCTCCTAGGTTGTTCACCAACAAAACAAGGTCAAGAAGAAACTTCACTACTGAGGTTTCCAGGTTATCATTCTGCTAAAGCATCCACTTGGCTCTCAAGCCAGAACAGACTTGCAGGAACAAAAGGAAAGGAGACTTCTAGCTCTAGCAGAAGCTTCCTCTGTACTTAACAGCATAAAAGCAAGGGCACAAAAGAGAATCAAAGTTGTCAACAGGATCAGCAGCCTAAACTGCAGAACAAACAAAATCAAGGTTATCTGTAACATAAATTGAAGGGACGTTAATAAAGGCTTTGTAACACTGAGAGAAATCTTTTTTAAGGGAGGCATGACTGAGACTTGAATTTGTCTCCAACATGCTATGCAAGAAATAGAGACTGAATAACTGGCAAGATTCTGGGTGGCAATTACAAAGTGTTTCACTCAAGAGTCACAAGTAATTTGAATTAGATAGGCTGTTTTGAAATTCATCTCAAAGTACAGAATATTTGGATTGTGTCAAAACAGTGTTAATTACACGAATACTCCTAAAAAATTCAGATAGAGCTGTTGTACTGCCAGGCTCCTGACCCACTGCCAGACTATAAATGGAGGGAGCAATAAGCAGTAGATAAACAGCTGCTACTTTGACACATAGGGAAAGGACTCAAACAGCACACATCACATTGTTAGATTATCCCAAGACAGTTACTAGAAGTTAAACAGTTCTTTTCCTGAGCTGTGTAGACTTGGCTGCGAATTTCCACAATTGTCACACCTCTCTTCCCCACTGACTGCAGCACTACCTACTATACAGTCATTCTGAAAACACCAGCAATACTGCATACTAAATAGTGACACTCTTGCCTCTCCTTATGCCCTGCAAGGTTTAACAGCTTCTGTGCCATAGTCACGCTCCTGCACGCTAGCACTACAGTTGTAACTGATTATTCCCACTACAAGGTTTTCTACTTGCCCATAAAAAGGTCATCATCGAGATCAACTTCAAGAGCCTCTGCAGCCTGCTGGAGCCAAGAGTCATGTTGCTTTGCTCGACCATTGAAAAATTCTGCCTTCTCAATCTGCCGTGCCAAATTCACCCGCTCCTGCAACAAAGATGCATTTCAAGTATTCTAATCAAGTTTAAACACGGGGTACTCTTGCAAAATCAATGTCTGAGAGTGTGCATTACAATGCACCTGAAATGTCAGTCTTGCAGTTCTGTACTGCTGTTCTAGTAGACACCTTACATAATACAGATGTCATCATTTGCTGAAGTGATACCAGGTATCTGTGATTGAAGAAGATGGCTTCTTCAGATGTCCATGATGGAATTGGACTCCTAAAACATTTCAACTGCTAAACATCTAAATGTTAGTTCCTCGTTTTTATATCAGAGACATTAGGAACAAATCATAATTCAGATACCAACCAGAATTTTTTTTAAGTAACCAGAAACATTTCTAATATCTACTGTACAACTGCTAGGATTTACAAAACATCCTGTGAGTGACAGAATGACTAAGTGTTCCTTAAAACAGTCAACAGGCTGAAAAATAATGATACCTTTTTCTGACAAGTTTCAGTGGCAGCTGAGGCCTCACAGCATAGGAAAGGTTTAGGAAAAGCAGACAGCTCAATACTTTAGCTAAGAAGAGACTGACAAAGACCTGTTCTAGTCTATTCCCAACACAAAGACTTTAAAGAACTCAACAGAGCCATCCTAGCTTTTCAGTAAAAAAAATACATCCATACCCTGTATTGTTTTTGGGAATCCAGTAATAAGCAGCTCTATGTAACAAGTAAGAAAGAATGTAAGTGACGTTTACATCTGGACACCTTTCTTGGGCTAGTTATTGAGGACAAACCACAAATATTGGTGAAAAAAAGACAAGTGTGATTAACCTCATTTTCAAATCCAGGTCCTGAAGAGTAAATGTCATCTGAAACTTGAAAAGAACATGATTTGCAATGCAGTAATGTAAATAAGCAAGCAGTTACTTAGGATGCAAAGAGATTTTTTTTTCTTTACCTTAATAGCAGTCATATACTTTGTTTCAACTGGGAAAAGTGGCAGCTCTTCGCTCTTCTCCAAGGTTTTATAAATTTTCTTAAAATTGATCAAGTCATCAGGCCCAATCAACAACAGGCTAAGGCCTTCATTGGCAGCTCGTGCTGTTCTACCACTTCTGTGTACGTACAACTCAGAAGTACGAGGGACCTGCAAAAATTCAGACAAATCAGTCATGAAGCTGGTCACAGGAGGTTAGCAACAGTTTGTCATACTTTGACCATTTCTGGTCAAATCTGACTTTTGTCAGATAGTTTCAGATCTTATGATAAATTGCTTTCTATATACCCCTGGTACATGGCATGTAACACAGCTAAAGCAAGAAAGATGTTGTCTAGACACAATTTGTGTTTCCTGGTCTAGTACTCCTCCTGGTATAACCTCTTATGTGCCTTCTAGCCCTCTGCCATTTCATTTGGAAAGCAGGAAAAAAACTGCGACTCACAAAAATTACAGGGCTGAGCCATGTGACACTTTTTTTTATCTTGAAGTTGAGCAAAAAGCAAGGAGAATCTTGTATGTTAAGTCATTTCTTATATATGATCACATATTCATGAAGTATTACATATCACTGACAGTCACTGTAGCAACAGTACAAAGTATTTCAAGATAGTTAAATTAAAGATGATGAAATCCCTGTACTCTTAACACAGGACTAAGAATCACAGCTTTATAGTTTTGGGGCTGCTATCAAAAAAGCTTACTTCAAAACCGAAATAGTAAAAGTAAAAACATCAAAGATATTTAACCTGGTAGTGGATGACATGCTGCACATTGGGAATATCAAGACCACGAGCCGCAACATCTGTTGTCAGGAGGACACAGCTGAGGAAGTGATAACATTTAATGAACATAAAACTGAAGAGTAAACCATCTGCTAAGAAACATAAAATACATGATCCAGAATTCTACGACAGCAATTTAAGAAACAAATTCGTACTATCTCATCTGCTGGAACTATACTATGCATTTGCCACTACAGGAAAACAATATCAAATATTACCTCACAGGCAGTCTTGAAGTAGCAAAAATAATGCAAATGTTACCTTCAATGGGTTCATTCTGTTTCCAATAGTGAAATTCCCTACTTTGCTGGATCCTGCTTTCCTGTGCTTTTATTCTTTCCCAATTCATAGCAGCTAGCACAAATCACTATTCAACAAAAAAAATCCGACTACGTGATAGGGGGGTAAAAGCTCTCCTTCAGTACATTTTTCAGTGCTCTGCCCATGTTGTGTTTAGAAGTATAATTAGTTTAATATGATCATACCATTAATGATACAGTTGGTCCTTTGGCAGGACAGAAAGACTATTACGTTTCACTAATAATGTGATTACTAGAAGAAATCACATTATTATTAACATTAAAGATTTAATTAACACTTTGGGGGCTGAAGTACCAAGCTGCACTCAAATAACTAAACTGAAAAGTAGAAATTTGAAGTGGCTAATTCTTTCTGATAATTTTTCCCTCACTCTTAGAAATGGAGGGCTTCTCTCAAAGTTATTCTTTTACATAGGGTCTGTTGCACAGACAGAAGTCTGCTTAGGGTATGGAACAACCTGTTTAAAAACAATAAATACATCACCCAGCAGCTGAAAAGAGTTAACTTTAGACTGCAGGAATTTGTTAAGATTTTATAGCATCTGACTGCATGCTCTATGACTCCAAGGATCAAAGCAGAAATAAATAGAAAATTCTGTGGCATACATTCTGCAGGCAGCTGTTATAGATGGTTTCACAGATTTCCCCTTGCCGTGAAAATCAGTGTACTCTGAAAATGCTCAGTCTGCCTCTGCCAAGGCATATTATATTTTGCAAAGGGATACTGCAGATCTGTCATGACAATGCAATCTCTTTTCTCCTGTCCAAGTCTGCTACCAAGGTACAATTTCCAGTATTATCAGCCAGCTGGTTTACTGAAACACTGAGTCCACCAACCTGACTCTCAAAGGCTAATCTAAAGCCAGAAGGAACTAAAGATTCTTAAAGTGCCAAGTTAGGCAAACCGGGGTAAATTGGATCACCTTCTTTCATCACATTGCTCTAGGTTACCTTGACCCTCAAGAAACTAACTCACCTAGACAAATCTGAAGCCTAAGCCAAAAAAACTGTTTTATTTTTTGATGCTTTGTGAGATGGAGGTGCTGCAGAGCCAAGGCTGAAGGCCAGAGCAGGATGGTTACAAAAGCATACGACTAAGAATGGGGCAAGTAGCAGATCCTTCAGCAATAATGATCTGACAGGTTGCAGAGTAATTCAGACTCCAAAGTGACTCCCTGATTCACTCCTCTTCTAACAGAGCTGTTTCTGTCTATTCCCCCGTGTTCTTTACACAATTTCTTTTTCTTTTCTAGTAGAACATAGAAACAACTTACCTCTCACGCTCAGCAAACCTTTCTAAGTTTTTTAACCTTTGCTTCTGGTGCATGTTGGCATGCAAAGGAAGAGGATCACAATTTAAGATTGTGAGGAGAGAACTGAGGCGTTTTATACAGTCTATGCTGTTTGCAAAGACCATAGTTCTTCCTGGATACTGGAGAAGAAAGTAATAAAGGTAATAGTCTTTCTCATTTGTATCACAATGGATTCTGGTCTCCATCAGAGTCTCAACAGTAGCCTCTTTCCTTGTTAAGTCTATCACTTTGGGTTTGCCCTTTATTCCTACTTTTTCCATTAACATTTCAAGTTTGGTCTTCTTGTCTATCTTTTTAGCATTCTTTTTCTGTAAAATTCTTGTGGGAGTCTGATGGACTAATGTCAGAGTGGCAGAAAAAACAAAAGTCTGTCGTTTAGGATTGTATTGTGAATCATTTAAGACTTCTAGCAACTGAGACAGCTCCAAGAAATGACCTCTTTCAACCATTCGGTCTGCCTCATCAATCACAAGGCACCTGTCAAACAGAACACACAGTATAAATAGAGTTGTGTAGATAAATACAAATCTGATATACTTGTAAAGAACGTTTGCTGCTATACATAGGGAAATTTGTGCAAATAAAACCCAAAGGAACTCTAGATGTGCTAGCATAGCTTCAGTTATTCTCACATTTCTTTTAGAAACCTGTTATATCAAAAAGAATAAGTCAAACTTTTTTAACATTTCCTTCTCTTAACATAACCACTGTGCACTGCACTAAAATACTCTGGCAAAGAAATAAGTTACCTTACAAAGCTTAAGTTGCTTCATCAGTTAATCATACAACGCAGTGAAACCCAGATCAGCATTTAGCAGTTAGTTTAAAAGGCAACTCTACCTGAGCTGACGAAGATTTGAGAGATGTGGGTGTCTTTCTTTAATTAGCTCCCACAGACGGCCTGGGGTTGCTATTACAATTTCTGGCTTGCGATTCAGTACACGTTCTTGCTTCTGCGCTGCCATGCCTCCAACTAGAATAGCAGTCTTAATGCCTAGGAGATATAGATAATAGTCTTTGTTTAATTTATCAGCATCTTTACATATATCCACTCACAATAGTCTATATCGCAATTAGCATTGAATTTCTCAGCCAAGAAACTGGGGAAGTTTTATATACCACTGAAAAATTTGATGGCAATGCTGTCAACTTTACAAAGCAATTTTTATTTTAAGAAGATGCCCCAAAATACCCAAACCAAAAACAACATTCCTTTTTCTAGCACATACAGTAACCTTTCTTCTGCACACCAGTCTTCCAAAAGCAACAAGACTCATATATGACCTCCACAGCTGTTAGTTTTGATTAACTGTACTTCAGAATTTTGTCAACTGTACCTACATGAACAAGTCTGCATTAGAAATAATGTGGTCAGAAGGAGCAGGGAGGTGATCATGCCCCTGTACTCAGCACTGCTGAGGCTGCACCTTGAGTACTGTGTTCAGTTTTGGGCCCCTCACTACAAAAAAAGACATTGAGGCCCTGGAGCATGTCCAGAGAAGAGCAAGGAAACTGGTGAGGAGTCTGGAGCACAAGTCTTATGAGGGGTGGCTGAGAGAGCTGGGATTGTTTAGCCCAGAAAAGAGGAGGCTCAGGGGAAACCTTACTGCACTCTATAAGTTCCTGAAGGGAGGTTGTGATGAGGAAGGTTTTGGCCTCTTCTCCCAGGCAACAAACAGGACCTGAGGAAATTACAAGTTGTACCAGAGGAGGTTTAGATTAGACACAAGGAAGAACTTTTTCTCTCAGAGAGTGGTCAGGCATTGGAATGGCTGCCCAGGGAGGTGGTGGAGTCGCCGTCCCTGGTAGTGTTCAAGAGGTGTCTGGATGAGGAGCTGCAAAATTTGATTTAGTGCTTGTGGTAGCAATGGTAATGGCAGGACGGTTGGATTAGATAATCTTGTAGGTCTTTTCCAACCTTTATGATTTTATGATTCTATAAGCATGTTACTGTTAAGAATAACCAGCAGATTCCTCTAAGAATAGGACTGAGAAATGTCTGTCTTGCTAATAACTGCTCATTTATTATGGACTAGTTTTAATAAGAACATCAGTCCCCAATTAATGATTCTCTGGACAGAAACCTCAAATTAGCAAAATTAAGCAATTTTCAGATACATAAGGAGTTTAGCTCTGGAAGTGCATAGCACGCACATGGCTTATTTCCTTCTGCTTCTTCAGAGGATATACCGACCCATGTGGTGAACTCAATGCTTCTGTGCAAGGTTCTTTCAGCATCTGTGCTACCTCACGTCTCTCTTCCCTACTTATTGTATAACTCCATGCTTTTAGGTGAGGATTTGTTCCAAGTTGATTATAGACAAAACAGGCACACATCAAAACTGTTTCTCTCAGGCTACAGCAAACATATAATCTCTTGGGCAGTAGATTTGTGTATACAAATAGTACCACTTTGTCAGAACTGTACTGACAGAAATTGATTGTTTCAGGCTATGAGTTAAAATTAGCCTTGTAATCAGCTGCAGACTGATGAGCACAGCAGGTTGCATAGACACCAAAGGAAGATGTGCTTAAACAGTTCACTGCACCGCATACCCCTTTCAATAAATAATTGTTGCTGTTGGAGAACGGGGGAGTTAATTCCCAATTCTATCTTTAGTACTTCCACATCCTCACTCATTCACTTAACAGATGTGCTAACCTTCGATCAGGAAAAGAAAGAAGCAGGATGAATCTGATTTCATCAGATATGTTACCCAGCAACATGCCTAACTACTGTTGGAGGTAAATCAGATAATCTACCAATCTTCCTTAAAATTTATGGTTTTATTATCATTATCATACACACAGGCACACATGTAGCTGTGGCTGATTATCTAGTACTGATTCTATTTCTACAGCACAAGTCAGTAATTATTTGTACAAAAAAATATTTTAAAGCAGAATGTCTCACACTGTTAACTTCCACATGCATTTCTCTGAAAAATCTTAATGCACCTCTCAAATGTTAGCAACTGGGAACCTTAAGCCTTCAAACACCAAGCCAACTTTATGATGTGGAAGAAAGTACATATAGTGGAAATGCTAAGTCAGGGCTTGAACCAGTGATTGAGCATCTGGTGGGAAGGCAGGGCCAACCCAGGTGAACTCAGGTGCATGCAATGCAGCTGAGTGACCAAAAGGGGTGGAGCCAGGATCTATCCCTTCCCAAACCTCATTTAAGGGTTGGCAGTGGAGAGTATCTTGCTGAAAATCCCTGTCTACTGGAGGCCTTCCAAAGGTAAGCAGATTTTCTTCCTTTGTTTCTGTGTCTACAGCTACTGTATTGGTGCTTGCTTTCATTTGCTGCAGCTTAGGATTGTACCACCCCACTATTATTGCTGCTTTCCATCATGTTATAGCACCATAGCAGTATGTTATGCGTTCTGGCTCAACACCAGTGCCAAGACCCAAACTTGATGTTACCTGGAATAAAACCCTTGAAGTCTACATACCTGTAAACTTTGCAATTGCGTCGATGTGGTGCTTCACTTGCACAGCTAATTCTCTTGTAGGAGTAAGGACCAGTCCTAAAAGAGGTCTCTTTTTATGGAGGCCAACGGTATGTTCTTTGTCACTGGAATCAAATTCAGTGTTTTCCTGCACCTTCACACAGCCTGTTGCAAAAGATGCAACATCTTCATCTCTACTATCTTCAACCTGCTGATGGTTTGGTTCTTCTGCTTCGCCATCATTTTCCCATCTCATTTCATCATGATGCTGAGAGGGCTTTTTAGAAACACTGTAATTTATGCTCGCTGAGCTATTTGATTTTTGCCATTCCAGCACAGAGTGAATCATAGGAATTGCAAATGCAAGCGTTTTGCCACTTCCTAAGAAACAAACAAACAGAGTACAGCAGTCTGACAAAACATGAAGGTTACTTGAAAAGATGAAAAAAGCAAGAGCCAATCACAGGCTGTTCTTAAAACATGCAGCTGTAATGGGCACAAATTCTTCTTCTTGAGAAAATCTGGAACTTGCAACAATTGTAACTTGTCTCCTGTTCTCTGGATACATCCCCTTCAGGTCAATAACAATGTATTTCCTACGGAACAGGTATTTTTCCTACCTCTAGCAGGCCAGGCAGATTCATTTACTATCAAAGTGGTTTCAAAAAGCTGCAGTTATAATCAAGACCTTTTTAAAGAACCGTATGCCTGTAAGGAGAACACTATGCCCTAATCAACAGTTCTGATCTATGCCCTCCCCGTAAAGGAAAACAAATGAGGCCAAGGACAAACTGGAAAGTACTTAATGAATTTGCTTCCACCTTTAATTCACAGTAGCATGTGATTAGCCATTTTCTAAGACTGTATTTTGACATATTCCAGCCTATAACTTCTTGATCTATCACCAGCTCACATTTTTATAGTCAAAACGCACAAATTTGATTTAAAATAGATAAGCCAGTCTAGAGAGAAGGTTGTCAGGAAAAGAAAAACAACAAACAGTGATTGTTACAGATTCTCAACTGTAATTTCCAGGGTTCACTGCACCAAACTATGAGTCACATCCCTGATACGTATTCCTTCCTGAACTATCTACCACTAACAGAGATGTTAGGAGAATCTTGATAACACAGTAACCTCAGCTAAGCTTCTCATAAATGTCAGTTCATTAGTCATAAAAGAAGCATGCAGAGCTAAAGACACGATTACACTATTCCTGGCAGTATGCCGCTGCTGGAGAGCAGCCCCCTGGAAATCTCAATTTCTTGGGCAGCATTTGTCCATATTACAAACCCACAGCTGCCTGCCAAACACAGCAGTGCAATATTTTGTCTATTGAGAGAAAAGCACTCGCGTCAGTACTGCTACCCTGATATTAGTGATCCTGAATCAAATGCAAAGCAATCAGTGTGGGGCTAATGTCAGTGTGGCACCCAAACAGATGATGGCAGTGATAATCTGAACCATTCTGCAGATTCTAGATTCACTCACAAATTAATCACTGCACAGAAAATGTTATCTTCACAATACACAGATCACACACCACAGCCAGATCTGCAAAACCAGAACAGTCTACCTGAGAATATAAACTAATGCACGTCCTCTTTCACGATTTTAGATTCTAAGATTTTATAGATAAAATCTGGTTTCTTAACTCAAAATCTTCACCATAAATACATGATAATGAACAGAACTAGCTTCACTGCAAAAAGAAAGAAATCTTGATTTTTTTTTTTATTATTTTATTTTATTTATTTTTTTTTTTTTATGCCTGATCCCCATAGGGATCCACCACCATATCAAGATCTTGCTATCGTCTCCTATGGTGCTACCAAAAAGTGAAGAACAGTTCTGTCATCAGTGTCCTCCCTCAGGACCAATACAGAGGGAAGCTGCAGGATGTGGGAAAGGAGTGTTTCAGTTCCTCCCATCTGCAACACTTTGACAATTGCTCACATCTCTCAAGTTTCTGCAGGAAAGCTGATAACCCATTGGGCTCTCAGGAGGGAACCAGACTTTTTCTCATAAAAGAGCAAAAGAAACGAGCAAACTAGCTCCAGGTTATGCAACATTAGGACAGTTAGAGCACAGCTGACCACTAACTGTGCTTTCTATTCTGTAGCTAGAGATGAGAGGGATTTGTTTTCCTGCACTGCCAAAATGGCACCTTTTTACAGCACAAAAACACCATTTAATTTTTCAGTTTCATTTTCAAAAACACTCCCTGTGGAGCTTTCCGATCTTATTAAAACCTAATAAGACCAGCTTGCCTCCCAATTAAAATAAAAATGCAAATGACTGCATATCATATTAAATTAGTAACTGTACTCTTATGCTTAAGAACAGTAAATGGCTTTACAAGACAAGCAGTGAAATAAGGCAACTGTAATAGATGAGAACAACATGAAAGAAACCTTTAAGCAACACACCTTGCACGTGTGCTTCCTATTCTTAATTTTTTATGGGGAAAACAATGGGTTGCAATGTAAAAGTAGACAAAACTAAGGTGCAAGCAGCAAAAAAGTTAGCAGCTCAGAGACTTCACAGTATTGTTAGGTAAAACAGAAGCTATAACAATTGGCAAACAAAACTAACAATGGTTACAGAAAAAAGGCACCAGATGGCCATTTGGACATGAAATTGTAGCTCTACAGTTGGTGAATAATGCAATGCTTCAAACACAAGCTAAGAGAAATGCAAGCTGATAACAACTTACAGCCCAAGTCCAAAGGCAGGGCACCTGGTGAGCCTGTTTTGCTTCAATAATGTTATGATATCACAGGCTATACTTACAATGCCTAATGCTCTGCGCATGGTCCTTCCTATTTGCTGCTTCGAGACAGTACTAAATCATACCCAGAGAAGCCTGGTTCTTTGCTTTGCCTTGACACAGAGACATCCATAAAATTGTACTGTTAAAACATGACCCTGTCTGCTTAATTCTGTGCTTTGTAGCATATCACTTTGCAGTTCTTAAAATAAGAGGTAATTTGAGAAATAAAAAAAGAGACTTCTGTCAAAAGCATAAGAACTCATTGGAAATTCAAAGCTTTGCACAGTCTACAAAGCATACCATTAAAATTTCGTAACTGACAAGCATATAATAGTCTATCTTTACAATGAACCACTACTAATTTATCGGACAAGCAGAATCTACAAGCCTTTAAGCTTGTATACAGGAACTGTTAACAAGCTGCATCTGAGGATGGGAAACAGAAACATGTTCTACCAGGCTAACAGATTCATACCTGTTTCTGCAGCACCAAGAACATCCATGTTATCCCTGATGGCAGAAGGCAAACTTAACGCCTGAATAGGAGTTGGAGCACTAAACCCCAGGGAACTCAAGGCCTGCAACACTGGCTGAGGCACAAACAGGTCTTTCCATGCAGACACATCAGCTTTGTGATCAGTTGAGGTAGACAAAACTTCTGTTGTCCAATTTTTTACTTTCTTAGATGTAGTTACTGGCGGAAAAGCATCCTGAGCTTGAGAAGTCTTAACTACCTTCTCTTTCTTTTTCTTTTTCTTTGCAGCATTTTTTGTGCTTGAAGTGCTCTCAGCTATATGCCCACAGTCCCTATGATTTGCCTCTTTGACTATTTCTTCACATCTTTTCTCCTCATCAACTGGCATGTCAACTTCTGTTGCACCAGTATCATTGCTTTTATCTGCTCTGGTTCTCAAATCTTTGCACTTCTTTTTCTTTTTGGGAGGGACAACAGCTTCTTCCTCCTCCTCGCTCCCATCTTCTGAAAGATCCTCAGACTTTCTCTTCTGCTTGTTTCCTTTCCCCACTTTGTCAGAACTTACTAGCTTGTACTCTGTAAGCTCCTCCAAGCACACTACATCTTTAAACTGCTCATCAACAAATAGATTGGGGTCAATTTCCACAGTTTTCCATTTTCCCAATACTTCAATACCCTTTCGCCTCAGTTTAGCAGAAGGCGTAAATCTCCCTCCTCTTCTGAACTTCATTTTTACCTAAAAAGACACTGGGAGGGAATAAAAACAAAACAGGGCATCAGATCAAAAGGATAAGGATTACACTGAGAAAATTAAAAAGAAGTGGAAACACAAAGAATAATTATTTTCCTTTTTAAAAGAACTTATGACTATGAAAAGCCTTGAACATAATTAAAAAAAAAAAACAAACAACTAAAACTTGCTCTTGTTTCAGCACCATAAGTACTGAACATCTTCCTTTTCATCCTCTGCTTTCAATACTTACTTATTCAGAAATATAGGGCCCCATCCATTTGACTTTTTAGAGTTATTGACTTTAGATTTATAAACAGTGAGGAGATTCCCCTCTTAGTCTTCTCCGGGCTAAATAGTCCCACGTATCTTAGCTCCAAGCCCCTCTTATCTCTGTGGCCTTCTGCTGGAGATCCCTGGTATTTTTGGGCTGGGGAGCCTAGAACTGGGCATGGTGCTCCAGATGTGGCCTCACCAGGGCAGAGGAGAGGGGAGAGGATAAAATCACAGAATCCTTAGAGTCGGAACCAACCTTTAAAGGCCATCTAGTCCAACTCCCCTGTACTGGAACACAGACACCCACAACTAGATCAGGTTCCTCAGAGCCCCATCCAGCCTGGCCTTAAATGTCTCTGGGGACAGAGCTTCCATCACCATCTGGTAACCTCGAGCTGCTGGCTCTTCTTAACGTCCCCAGGATGACACTGTCCTTTTTGGCCATACAGGCACACTGCTGGCTCATGATCATCCTCCATTGTCCACCAGGACCCCAGGACCTTCTCAGGGGATCTATGCTTCAGCAGCTCAGCCCCTAACCTGTACTGATTCCTCCTCGCCAGCTACAGGATACGACACTTGCACTTGGTGAAGCTCATCAGAATTAAGAATAACCACAGCGTGCGCACCACGAGAGCTACATGACAAATCACCAATACCGAGCGCCCTAAATCCCGTTTCACATTATATCCGCATGGAAATTAACCCTCTGGCAGCGCCATGCGTGTCTTAGCGGACGGGCAGGCAGAGCCCCGCGGAGCGCTCTCGGAGTCCGGGGGAAGAGACGCAGCCCTGCCCGGAAACCTACCGGGACGCACCGGCACCGGAAACCTATCGCGCACGCCGCCAGGCGCTCCAGCCCCCCTGAGATCAACGCACGACACCCGCAGGAGGCTCGAGGTGCCCCCACCACCCCCTGAGCCCAGCGCTCACCACGATCACGGGGTCAGGGCGTGACCAAGGCTCGGCCTCGGCTGCCGTTAACGCCGCCACCCGCCGCGTGCGCTCCCCGTGGGAGCCGCCATTACAAAGTGACGTCACTGCACAGCGCCCGCCGTGCGCCCAGGGGACGGCGGGAGGTGAAGCGTAGTGCGCGTGCGCTCGTGCGTCCAGCGTGGGCCGGCGGCGCGCTGCCCGCAGCGTAGGGTAGGACCTGTGTGCCGCTACGCATGCACCTCTTTCGTCCTTTACGAGTCCACCGGTAGCTATGGTGCTGTTTGCATAAATTATACTAAAGCATGCATTAGACCGGCTAGTGCAGCCTTGACAAAGGAAGAATGAGAAAATTTGCCTTCCTGCAAATGAAATTTTTCTTTCGAAATACAGTCAGCATCCCCATAGATGATTTCCGTATCGTTGTGTTCACAACAGGTCTCATTCAAGTGAAAATGCACATCTTAAATTTCAACTCCAAAATTAGCAGCTCAGGTTGCATGTCGTTACCGCTTTCAGTAGGAATGTTGTCATTCTGTTTTGCTTATGTGTTGCTGTGTTCTTCATTATTCTCTGTTTTGAGTAGCACTGAGGTGAAGTAATATGATTTGGAGAGCAGCTGCCAGCAGCTGTAGAAGCAAATGTATTGCCAAGGTCACAGCGTGGGCCTTTTTTCCGGTGTGATCAAATGCTGTTTGCAGCTTGTGCTTGGTGAGGGGAGGTGGCATCGCGCATTCTTTACTGTGATCATGGGAGATTTTATTTCTGCTGAAAGATTGGCAGTTGTCCTGAGAGGCTTTATTTTATATGAGACGTGAGGGAGAGAGAGAGAGGAAAAAAAAAAAAAAAAAAGCCACATATTTTGAGGTTGGAAAGACTAGGGCATTAGATTTAGGTGCAATTACAGCAGTGATTACAATTATTTCTTCTCGCTGGTATCTGCAGGTGTTTTTGGTTCTGTGAGAAGATAGGAAAATTGAAAGCTTTTTTCAAAATTTGTTAAGGCCAAGGACAGAAATAAGAACTTTGAATCATTTGAAGGATAGTTTCAGTTCCAGATAATCCTCATTAACGCAGATCTGCTAATTCATAACACAAGGAGTTGCTTCCAATTCACATACTCCTAAGAGCAATTGAAATTTGGTGCTGTGTCCTCATGTTAGGTAGAAGCTGAGTTAAAACCAGTGGGAATCTGCAGGTTCAGGAAGCAGAATTTGATATAGTTAAACTTGTATACCTTATTTATGTATAGTGAACTGGAGATGTTGATGACTGCTGGTGCTAGTGAGCTGGTAGAAACTTTGGAGCTTCCCAGCCAACCTTAATGAGAGGTTTCGGCAGTCTTTATTAAGCATTTCTTCATTCAAAGTATCTTTCTCTCCAGATTGTGTAGATTCAATCTTAGCACTTAAATTTTTCCTAGTTTAGAGTTTTACTGCTTTATTTCTCTTTATTTTACTCTATATGAGCAAAAATAAATTTGCAGAAACAAAAGAAACTGATTACTCTCAAATTTAGATGCAGCTGACTTCTGAATAAAGAGTTAGATAAAATGCGGACAGTAGGATACTTGGTAATTTATCTGTCCTTAAATAGTTTCAGAGTTTGTACCTCTGTCTTGAAGGAAAGATTTAACAGAATAATGACTTGCCAAACTATGTTGAATTATGCCTTTTAATTTAATTATGGATATATCTTTACAGAGCGCAGGAGTTTTTGAGATTTTTTCCCTCAAAAATCTGTTTGTTGGTGAAGCTGATTTCTATGTGCTATTTGTAGACAGAGGGACAGTCCCTAAATCCTAGTTTGAAAGAAGGCAGATTACTATTTATATGAGCACTGAAGTTCAGAATGGTCTGTTTACAAAAGAGGTAGCAACTCCCCTTACTACCATGGTATCAACTTGTTGTATAAGTGGCATTAAGGTTCTAAGTCCTTTTGAAAAGACATAACTGGGGAAACTAAATGTTTGCTTAGTTTTACAGTAACATTAATCTTCCTGAGTACAACCTCAGAGTGACACAGCTTTGGTATTTAGTGACAAGGGTTTCTCTACAAGACATGCACATTTGTTTCATGCAGGAAAGTTAGCTGTTACACAGTTGGTAAATACAGTTCTGTTACTTACAATGCAGAGTGAGCTGTTGATTAAAATGTCAATGAGAAACAAAGCTTCTGCAGATCTGCTTTTCATCTTAGGACTTCTTTAGATCAGCAGTTACATAAATACCAGGAAATTGTTAATTGGAAATAATAGCTAGTATTAGTAACAGTTATGAACCATGCCCCTTTTATATTTGTAAGACTCCTAACAGTTCTCCTAGAGTAGGTCAAGCCAGAGATGTCTTCTACCAGTACCTTTAATTCTGGGATCAGTGATATGGTAGCCAAATTCAGGGCTAGGTACAGCTGAATCTGCATCTGAGCAACTGCTGTAGGTTTTCAGTTAGTAATCAAATCTGTACTGCCTTAGTGTATTTTTTAATTTTTCTCTTTCTCTTACAGGAAGATCAGTAATTAAGCAGGTGCTGAGATAAGTATCTGCTTAACAGCTGGTCTTATTAGCCACTACAGCTTATAAAAGAATGTCACCGTATTGTGATTTATATGGATACTGACCTTATGGCACATTTTGCATGACAAAAATGTAGCCTTTGGCCTGTGGAGTACTTGGAGTCTCTTTTGATTTGCAGGCTGTAGAATCAGATCTTCTGTCTTTTCTGGAATGCCAGATGAGGCTGTTGCCCGGGTCCTGGGGTGGGAATGTAAAATTTTGGTTTTCTTGCACTCAAGGCCTTTGTTTCCATATTTAAAAGTTCTAGAATTTCTTTCTAGAACTGACAAGATCCATTAAGACATAGCACCATAAAAGTAATAGCTCTGAGAGAGAGAATGTGAACTGGAGGAGAATTTTATGTTGGATTTTTCTTTCTGTCTTCTACAGTATTCTGAGTATAAGCAGCTCATTTGCTTATTTACGTGAAGTATTTTTGGTGTAGAATACACTTTGCCAAAGACATAGTGCTTTTTCTTCAGCTGATGGACTCAGAGAAACAGGAGAAGATAATCTCCAGGCATGAGTTTTAAGAGCACTGGCAGATTTGACAGTAGTTACAATAGAAAAACACTTTTTCAAGTACAGATATCAAGGTTAAGATTTTTCTGAGTGACTAAAGAATAGCAGAGGAGTCTTCATTTAAGATGAGGGGAAATATCTGCAGTTGTTGCAAATAAAGTCAGATGCAATAGGTACTTGAGAATGCATTTTGAAGGAAAGAGTAATAAAGGAAATAATGAAGATAAGGAATGAAATAAAATTCTGTACTGCTTAACAAAGTGGAAATGCGAAATTAGGCTGTTGTACTTGACCTCTTATTTTTGAGGGAGGGAAGAAAGGAGGTAGGATAGATTGTTTTCTGGACAGAAAAATATAGTTTATCTAATATATCTGGACACAGTCAAAATATTTTTGTAAGAAAAATGATTAATAACAAGGAAAAGATCAGAATTTTGAGATGGAAAGAATAAGTTAAAGAGGGAATGAAATGCACTTGAGGGAGCACACTGGTGTGTAGATTGATAGATTAACCTATCAGATGTAGGGAGCTTACTTAAGGAGTTAATCTTAAGTCTTGCAGATGAATCTTATTTCATTAATAACTGTGATACAATATTAAATTTGCTGATATCACAATGTTACTAATACAGAAGGGAATTAAATTATCTGCTAGAAAGATTGAACGGACTTGGAGGACCAGAATAATGGAATGGTTTTACTACTGTGAAATGCAGCACCATTCAGCTAAGGCTAATACTCAGAATTTAGACTATTAAGGCAGGAGTTAATTAGTTTTAGATGATTTTGGACCTTGTGTATCTACTGATTACAAGATAACTATGACCTGCCAATGTGGTATGTTTGCTAAACTAATACCTTCTTCACGGAAGGTGTGACTTCTCTGATATTTCACTATGTAATACTAGATATCATTTTGGTCACTGTTGTTCTGGAAAGATGAAGTAAAGCTGCAGCAGATGCAGAGAGGGCTGTAAGGGTGATGAGGTAGATGGAGAACCTACTCTAGAGGTGATGTCTAAGTGCTCAGTTTAATCTAGGGTTTGTGTAGGTGTGAATACAGTCTTTGACTTTCAGGAAAGAATGAATGAATTAAAGTACAGGACAACACTGGCACAAAAAGAAATTCAGTCAACTGGCCAACGGTAATTTTAGGTAGGAAATGTGAAGTTTCTATGGCAACCAGTGAGTAAAGATTACTCGAAGACAAAAACTTGTTAGTTTTAATATAAGATTTGACATATTTATGGCAGATCTTGTTCATGGTTGTCATAGCAAGGAGCTAGACTCACTGGCTTTCTTTGTTAGGAGTGTAATAGTGTCCATCTGGCTCTGAGGTATGGTAACTGATGTGGCTTCACCAGGTCCATGCAAGCAAACTCCTTCACCTCCTAAACTGGCGCACATGCATCCTTCCTGCCTATGGGGAAGTGTTGGGGCTACACTGAGCTCCAGCCTCTGTACCGTGCCCAATATCATTTGATCCATGTTACGACATACTCCAAAGGTGTACAAATACTTCTGGAGATGTTTTCCAGTTCATTGCTCATTAAAAACGGTTGAGAAAATTCCTGATAGAATGTTGTGTAGAACTCTCTGTTGAGGAGCTGATGTCATTGAGATTTTTAACATTATTATTCCTACTTTTAAAATGTAAATAAATTCTGCCTTATGTGTATGAATAATTAGTAAACCTGGGCAAACAAAATAACAACAACAACAAAAACCCTATTCTTTTTTAAAATACAAATAAACTTCATAAAGTAATTTGCTAGTAGATCCTACTCTCACATCAGATATCTTATAAATACCTGTAAAGTATGAGAAGAAAGAGAAATGTCTTTTATTTTGTGTTGTTATTCTGTCTTTGTGCAAGTGCAATTAACTGTTCTTGGACAGTAGCTAGCAGATTAGGCACTGTAGGAGAACATTGCTAGTTGTTAAGGAAAGAGATGGAATGCAGCTTGGTCTGTTACAAACATTAAACATTACATAAAAACAATTTTAAAGATCTTTTCTGTGTACACCCATTTATTTTTTTTTATT